AGGAGGGAGGGCAATCTGTGACATGCGACAGGGTATTATTCCACCCAGACATATCACAGTAGTAACATGTTACAGTTCTAGTTGCTTTGAGTTACTCTGATCTGTTGGAATGAAGTTGACTTGACACTTCACCTTTGCAAGTTTATAAGCTTCATGCCATGATCAGTAAGTGTACTTCCAAACCTTATCTATCTCAATGAGTAAATGTCCCAGCTCTTACCTCATTTTCGTCCTCATTCTCGTCATCTTCTCCTTCTTCTTCATCTTCTTCACCCCTTTCTTGAGTTGTTATTTTCCTTTCTTTCTCCTTCTCATCACCGCTGTCTACTTCGTCTTTGTCAGATTCAGAAGCTTCGTCTCCATGTTCAGCTTCCTCATCTCCTTCGCTCGGCGAATCGCCAAACAGCTCATTCAGTTGAGCTTCTCGCTCTGCTGCTTTGTTCCCTTTTACTTCTTTTCCTTCGTCTTCGCTGTCCTCCAGATCGCTACCAAACAATAGGTCTTCCATCGACATTGTGCTGAAAACCTTGTTTAGAGCGTGAGAAAGGTCAGCGATTTCTGAAGTCTAAACTTGCGCCGTCATGTAAAATGAGCAGTTTGTTCTGGCCCTGGTGCACGGAAGAAAATGCTTACTTCCTTAGTTACGGTAAAAAATTTCATCCATCAGTCAAAGCTGTATAAAGAAAACAAGCTTCACTCGAGAAGATCACAAACTTCCCTCCAACACGATCAACTTCCAACCGGACTCGAAAAAACTGAACTGAGTGCACAACAATAGCCTCGTTTTCATGAATTCAAGCACATGTCGGACAAAATGGCGGAAGCGTCAGAGGCCGATTGCATGGATGCGAAAGATTCAATGAATACCGACTCAGAGGTGGTTATTCCTGGCCTTGGAGATCTACCAGTCTCTAGTAATGAAACATTAAAACGCGAATATCAATCAGGAAGCGAAAATGGTCACACTCCTCCGCTGGAAGACGACAACGAAAAGATGCAACAAGGAGAAGAACCCGATTCCGGGACGCCGCCACCGAAAAAAAGAAGGCGGTCGAACAAACGCAAAGGTGACATCCTAGGGGTTCAAGGACCGAAAAATGCGTTAATGCAATTAAACGAAATACGACCTGGTCTTACTTATAACGTCCTTTCTCAAGAAGGCCCGACACACTGTCCCACTTTCTGGGTTTCAGTGGTTGTTGACGGGCAGACGTTTGAAGGAAAAGGATCAAGCAAACAAAAAGCTAAACACGATGCGGCCGAAAACGTTTTGAAGTCGTTCATTACTCAGATTCGTTCACCTGCTAAGCGGCTGGTCACAGAGGCCCAAGGCATTTCCACGGACTTCACTTCAGACAACACTGGAGCTCTTCTGAATACATTTGGAAATGGCGACCAAGCAATGGCAGATAGCGAAACTGAGAGCCCGAGTGAATCATCTGCCACACAATCGAATGCCGTTAAAGTTCCACAGATGCATAGTGAAGGGGGCAAACATCCAGTTGTGCTCCTAAACGAGTTTCATCCCGGCCTCAAGTACGAATTTCTTGGTGAAGAAGGCGATCAAAATGCGAAGCAGTTCAAATTTAAAGTCACAGTCAACGGCCAAGATTTTTTGGGAATGGGCAGCAGTAAAAAGAAAGGCAAGGCTAATGCTGCTTCCAAAGCTCTTTTTGCACTCCATAGCATCCGTACCTTTTACACATTTTCTGGCCAATCAGAGGCTCAGCCAACATACTTAGGACCTCCACCATCAGCCCAGTTGGAACAAGAAGCTGCAGATCTCATTGCCTATGCTGTGTTGACAAAGTTTCAGGGTCTTCAGTCAGCTATGGGAGAGGAACCAATTCGACGAAAAGTGTTGGCTAGCATTGTTATGACAAGCCGTGGTGACAGCGATCAAAAGTTTGAAGTAATAAGCTTGGGAACAGGAACCAAGTTTATCAGCGGTGAATATATAAGCGATCAGGGCTTAGCACTAAATGACTGCCATGGAGAAATCATTGCAAGGAGATCCTTTTTACGATTTTTGTACTCACAGCTTGGCCTGTGTGCCGAGGGATATGAGGAAGATTCCATATTTCAGAAGAAAGAGAATGGATTGTATGGTTTGAGAGACAATGTGGAGTTCCACTTGTATATCAACACTTCTCCATGTGGTGATGCTCGCGTTTTCTCGCCACATGAGCCAGTCAGTGGGGAATCTGATAAGCACCCTGGAAGGAGAAAACGAGGGCTTCTTAGAGTCAAGCTTGAGAATGGAGAAGGTATTTAAACTCACATGATTTCGTAAAATTCAGATGATAAGTCACCCCCTAGACACCAATTTAGCCCCCAGAATCTCAGAGTAAGAATTCTTACCGAAAACAAGGTCCCCCTAACTAAGATAAGCCTATGGCCATACATCTAGAATATCCATTTATGCCATGCCATAGAAAATATAGCCAATCAGAATACAGGGAAGCCATTATGTACTCTACAGTGTTACACCCAACCTGATGGTTGTGTGCTGCATTGTTTGTGTTGCCCACTGTACTTTCCATTGCATGGTATGTAGTAGTGTATTAAAGATGCGTTAGGAATCCTTTATGCCACTTTTCATATAAAGTTCTAAGTATGTGTATCATAATGCCTGGTTTTCACTAGCGATGCAGGCACAAGTGCATGCACGATAATTCTTATTTCATCGTGAAAACGGCCTTGACGCAGGCATAACACAAGCACAAGGATATTTGCCATGCCTGGTTATGTTTTACCAATGAAAACAGTGGATCCAGATTACCTTATGCCTAAACAGTTTTCCAAACTGGAGGAAGGTTCGGATGGTTTTGCTTGTGCTTGTGTTTGCGTTGAATTTCTAGTGAAAACCAGGCGTAGCAGCTTCATTTGAAAGGAATGTGTAGAGAAATAACCCCCAGCTTCCCCCCGCAAAAGGGACTGTTTCAAGGAAAATACCCAGTTCATTGACCAATTTTAATCAATAATTTATGTGAATTGGTTCAAGAATTTTCAAGTTGTGGTTCAAATTTGCACTTCTTATTTAATACTATGAAAATCTACTAGTAGCAAGAAATGTTAAGAAAGAATATAAATTGAGTTTTATTTATTAATTGTTATAACTTGTATTCCAGGTACCATTCCAGCAATGAATAGTGACACAACCATCCAGACTTGGGACGGTGTCCTTCAAGGAGAACGCCTTCGCACCATGTCTTGTTCAGACAAACTGTGCCGATGGAACATCCTCGGAGTCCAGGGAGCACTTCTCAGCAACTTTCTTGAACCGGTGTACCTTCAGTCAGTGGTCCTCGGCAGCTTGTACCATTATGAGCACATGTCAAGAGCAATGTACCATCGTCTTGGTGATCTAGAAGGATTGCCTCCTCCCTTCAAACAGAACCGGCCCCTGATGAACGGCACAAGCACCGCAGAGCCGCGAGCAACGATTAGATCACCAAACCATAGTGCCAACTGGAGTGAGGGAGACGAGGGGTTTGAAATTGTCAATGCCCAAACAGGGACAATCGGTGAAGAACGTGCATCCTCGAGGCTTAGCAAACAAAGTCTTTTCAAACGTTTTATTTCACTGTGGAAGAAGCTGAAGCCAGGCATACCTGTTCCCTTGTCGTACCATGTTGCAAAAAGAGGCGTTGTCAATTATCAAACGGCAAAAGTGATTGTGATGAAAGGGTTTGAAAGACAGGGCCTTGGAACATGGATTAGGAAACCAGTTGAGCAAGATATGTTTGA